CCTAGACAGGGTCTCACTGATGTAGTTCAGGCTGGCTTCAAACTCCTGATCTCAGTCAGCCTCCTTGACTTTTTTTAAAGGATTAATGTTTCCCCATTTTTGATGAAGTCCTCAGACAGTATGTTACCTGAGTTAACAGTCCTAGACTTACATGGTAAGACCTCTCTCTGACACTTTGCCTGGACAAGAGCTTCAGCTTCTTCCTTGTCTACTTTCCTTATTAGTAAAATTGAGATTAAAACCCCATAATCCAAGAACTTGTAAAAGTTAAATAAGTGAACATAATTGCATGTGTTTTGTGAATTCAAAAGCCTCATGATTTATTTAAAATATACTGTTTTACTTGGTGTTCTTTTTTTCATTGAAAACTCAACTTTCCAAAACTCTCTGAGAACAATTGACACTGCTTAAGAACCCTGGTTTTTATCCCTGCTTTGTGTGAGTCCTGGGTGTGTAGATATGTGGTCTATGACTGGCAGCCCCAAATTTTCTCTGGGAAACATCAGAAAAAGCTATCATCCTGTTTGAGGGGTGGAAGAGGTTTGCGGATGCCCTGGATCTCTGAGACAAAGACAACACTGGGGCTCAGAGCCAGAAAAATAACCTTCCCCATGGCCCCAGGGTTACTTAGTTGGAGTTTAACCAGGACTTGGGACTGTGTATGTCTCTTCACAGTACACCCTTATGGCACCAAGCAGGCTGGGGGTGATGGTTGGCAGAACTATAATCTCTGTCAATGGGCACTGTATCCAAGCCCAAACCAGGTTATAAACCAAGATGCAAGGGTGACATGTTCCTTTCTGAAATAATTAGTTTGATTATAAAATAAACAATATTAGTTTCATAGGCTACTGTTAGACTGTTTGGCACCTTGGTGCTGCCAGCACCCACTTCATCAATATCCTTTACTTCTATCTCTCAGAAAATTCAAAGCAATGTACTGATTTTGTTAGACACTCTACTGCCATCTGTTGGGAAACAGTTATAATAAATTGATACATCTATCTGTAATGTGAGGGGCACCCTAACCCCTTATATGCAGTGCACAGCCTGTAATGTTGTACCCATGAGAATGTATTATGTTTTAGGAAATGATCTTTGGGTTCCAAGAAAAACAGTACATCATTGGCAGCTCCAACCTCCCACCCAAGAGACCACACACAGATTATGCCAGGAACAGGACTCTTGAGATTACAGTGCTGCAGCAGGGCATAGAACTTCAAAGGCAATTTCTCAGAGCCACTGAATAGGTCCTGCTGCTTGGGATTGGGGTCATGATGTTCAGGCCTAATGCTGATGCCATTCCACTAAACATCCAGAGAGCTTGCTTTTGGATCCCTGCAAGAGATGAAACTCCCTTCACTTTGTTGGTAACAGGGCGATTTCCATAAAAACATGAGCACATGACAGCATGTGCGAGAGTTAGTTCAGATGTTTCAAATCCTTCCTTGGATTTTTACCTTGGTTGTTTACCACTCTCTATATCAAATCCTCCACTAGCATGGCTATCAGAAGTAAGCCAACTTTTTCTTAGGAAAAATAAAACTCTGGATCCACAGAACAAGGTGCATTGATGTCATTTATATCTAGAACCCTCTAGTTCACTCAGTGAGTCAGCAAAAAAAAATCAGGTTTTATACTGCATAACTAACCACCCCGATGTTTAGTAGCCTAAAAAGAACAACCTTTTTTTTTTTTTTTTTGGTATCAAAAGGGATCAAACTTGGGACCTTGTGCTTGCGAGGCAGGTGGCGGAACCACTGAGCTAAATCCCTGGCCCAAAACAACCATTTTTATAGCTTACAATTCTGTGTGTTGCCACTTTGGACTGAGTCAACCACGCAGTTCTTCAGCAACTATGCAGAGGCTGGGCCCCCATGTTCATCTGCAGGGAGTTAGAGCTTGGCTGCTCTGGGTAGGCCTCGCCTCGAATCTCCTGTCTTTCATCAGGCTAGACTGATCTGTTTGCAAGCAGGCAGGGCAGGGTTCTGAGAAAGTAATCAGAAATGTGGATGGACACAGCGTCACCTCTCTTCTAACTGATTCTCAAAGCCTCAGTGGAACTTCAAGGCTGGGGAAATAGACACCACCTCATGATGGAAATTGCTGCAGGCACAGAGTAAAAGGGATGGACACGGGGCAGTGAAGGTTGTGGGCACTTTTGCAACTTATCACTAATGCTCAGTACAGGTGACACTGAGTGCTGAGAATAAAATGCACAGATCTTGCATTTAAGGAGTCATACGACAAATGTAGAAGATAACAGAAGATTAAGAATCTGTTGGATTTGTGCTGCAGTAAGGCTATGTTCTCTAGAATTGCAAGAAAGTCCGCTGGGGTTACTGAAACATTACTCCATCACCCACAAACATCTGGTCAGTTTTGCCCAGCCAGCCACATCATCTCTAAAGAATACTTTAAACAGTAGCTTCTTAGTGAGACATTTCTATTGAGTCTTAGTCTGCCTTTTTGGTCTTCTGTGGGTGTGCTTTGGGGTGACAACAATGACTTTTTATAATTATCTAGATCAATCCATGCCTCCTTTTCACATCCCTTGAAGAGGAGAGGAGTAGGGGGTGGTCAGAATGTGAGGTTCAGACAAATGTGCTCTTGGGCTGGAAAGAAACATCCAGGGCTAAAGACACCAGGAACTCGGTGTGTTTTTACAGGACTGGCCTTGAGGAGCAAAGCTCAGAACACAAGACTTCTGCCAGTTGTTCTAAAGAAGCTTCTGTTCCCTTTCAGTCACTCAAACTGCAGTGCCTTGTTGACCCCACCTAAAGCAAATGTTCAGAGTTCCCCTGGCCATATGAGTAGAGGTGCCTGACAGCTCCTCTGACAGTTCTTATCCTTAACTAGGGCACAAAATCGCCCCCTGGTGGGGGCTTGGTAGGAAGATAGTGGCAGCAAGACAATTCCTGATCACCTGTTTTCTTTACTGGAAGGGAGCTGATGATTGTCTGGGCAAATACTGTGGTTTGGGTTACAGTATGAGTGTGTTCCCCAAAGACTTATGTGTTGGAAGCTTGGTCCTCAGTATGATGATATTAAAGGTCCAGTTGGAGCCTGAGTCAGTGAGGGCACTGCATTTGGGAGGAATTATTTTAGTGTTCATGGAACCCTGGTTAGTTCTTGCAAGAGTTGTTATAAAGTGCAAGGCTGGCTCCTTCTCACTGTCTGCTTTCCTATGTTGCCATGTGAGCTCTCCCTCTTGCATGTACTTCCACCATGTTGCCATCTACCATGTCACCCTCAATAGAGGCTGAACTAATGATGCTATCTAAACGTGGACTTCTAGCCTCCAAAACAGTGAGCTAAATAAACCTTTTTTCTTTATTACAAAGACTTGGGTATTTTGTTATAGCAAGGGAAAATGGCCAAATAGAATGATTGTTGAGGCCTCCCATTGTGCTTGACTTATAGTAAAGAAGCTGGAGGACAGGGTTTGCTTTATGATTTGTTTAGGGCATGTTTTATGTGTACATTCACTGTTGGCCATAGACTACAGAGACTGCTGGTCAGGAGTGCTTTCAAATATGACTATGGGAGTTATAAGCTAATGATACTGTTATTACCATAAGCCTGCAGCGCAGAAGTTCTGCCAGCAGTAGATCAGATGTGTGCCTGTTTGAATTTTTCTATTCAAGGGAAATTGAAACAAGGATTTGGGCATAAGTAGTTTATTTAGGAGGTGAGCTCAGAAAACACTGTTGTGATGCAGGGGAGTGAGACAGAGAAGGAGGCAAGCCAGTAAAGGATGTGTTATCAAGCTGATTACTACTGTGGGCAAGCTCCACTGGAAAAGAACCTGCACCTCAGAATTCTTCCACCCCAGGAGAGAGGGAGCTGGATTATTTATATACCCACTATGGCCAATCATGTTTAAGGGCAAATGCAGGGAGAGATGTCTGACCTCAGAAACAGAGGTTCCTAATGCTGGTGAGCAGAGAATGAGAGATGTCAGCCTTTCTTGAGAATGGGAGAAAGGGTGAGCTTTGGGTTACAAAAAGGTACTTAAACATTTAGCAATAGTGACAGTGATGACTGAAAAAAACTAAAAACTTGTCTTATGTGTGAAAAGTCACAAGACCAAATACAATATCAGAGGCGGGGGCAGTCTTCAGAACTAAGCTACGGGAGACTACCACCCTGAACCAGGATGAACTGTCAGCCCTAGATGAATCTATGCTGCTGACTCTGCTGCACAGAACCCATAGATTCCACAGGTGTGAGAGAAAGACCTATGACAGCCATGTAGAATGCAGACCTACCAATGCTTTAATGAGCCCATCATATCACAGCAGTATCCGCAGATGGCTTCACAGATGGCTAACACCTCCCAAGGTATAATAAATTCATTAAAAACCAAACAAGCTCAGGAAATATCAGGCCTCTGGGTTTCTTTCCCACCTGGAGTTATCAGATCCTTTGCTTTTCTTCTGTATATTACAAATTGGGGAAGAAAGACTGCATCTCTCCCTGTATTTATCCCTATTTGAGCATGAAAACCTTTTTTGTTTTAACTCCAAAACATTTTTTTTGAGAGAGGGTCTCACTATGTAGTTGAGGCTGGCCTCAAACTCACTAAGTAGCCCAGGCTGGCCTCAAACTTGCAGCGATCCTCCTGCCTCAGCTTCCCGACTGCTGGGAACACAGGTATGCACCACCATGCCTGGCTTCCCAAACACCTTTGAATAACTCAGCAACCAGTGTTCCTCAGCACCTAGTGTGGGAAATACTGTACCAGAACCATTTTACAAGGAACAAACAACTTCTCACAAGATAGCCTGCTAGAAGGCCATGAGTTTTGGAAAATGGCTCTATGTAATGCTTCTCTTCCCAGTGTGTTTTCTAAAAACAGTTTGATTTAAGGAGTTCTCCAAGCCTTCCAAGCCCTGTGAGGGCAGGCCACACCTAGTCATAGGCCAGCCTGCCTTGTAATCAAAATAGCTGATTCTTCAGCCTTACTAACTCCAGCTCCTGCTCTTTCTGCTTTTCAGATGGGCTTCTTTCGCCGAAGGTACAAAGAAATTATTGAAGCTGAGAAGAACCGGAAAGAGAATGAAGAGAGTTGGGACTGGGTCCAGAAAAACCAGTGACCTGCCACACCAGTCACATGACCCAATCACTAGCCTGTTATCCTTGATCTTTGTATCTTCCATATTTGGAAGAAAAGAATCTTCTCCAGATTTTTCGGAGGCCCCACAGATGCTGTTCTCCTTCTCATTCTTTCAAGCCCGGGTGCCAGCCTGAGGCCACCACTTCCACTGGCCAGGTCACATGACCAGAGCCGCCACCACTTCCTTTTAAAGAGAACTCTGAACTTCAGAAAGCAAGCTACAGAGCCAAGCAATATTTATGGATGCAAGATGCGTGGTCAACCCTCAGGGGAAAACTGTTACCTAAAAGTATTTTTATAAATATAAGCCTTTTATACTGATCATGTCTTTATATTTGTATCAATGATTTATTTCTATTAAATAGTTATATAATTCACTCAAGCACTGATATCTGGCCTGAAATCTTGGAAATACATGTACTCATACACCAATTTTAAAGGATAAAAATCTTGTACTTTGGAACTTTCTGTTCAAAAAAGACTTGCAGATAAAATAAGCTGAAGATACTTCATGAAATGAATCCACCATGCTGGCAGTGCCACAGATAAACTAGATATAACAAAACTGCAAAGAAATTTCACATTTTTATTGCCTGGAGTCAAATATGGAGTCATATACTAAGGAACCCTTAAGTGTTTTTTCATATGTACCTTTCATTGGAAGATTCCCAACAAGAATTTTGAATGGAGACCCTGATTCTTAGCAACAAGTCTGCTCTGCATCACCTTTATGCAGCATACATCTCACACTCCTTCTACTTGAGTTGACAGATGAAGGCTTGGAGCAATGCCACATGGTCATCTGGTAAACGTCAGGCATCTCATCCTGGACACCACAGATCAGCGTTCATACCCCACAAAGACTAAACCAGCGCCTCAGTCTCCCCCACCCAGCCCCGCAAAGACTGTCTAAATGCTGTGTGAGGCACTGCCTTTTCATGGTACTTCAATTCAGAGGTCTCCATTTCCCTTACCATTCTTGTTGTGCCCAATGTGTGGTAATTGCAAATTTCTTCCTAGAGATGACTATCTAACCTGTCTTTTTAAATTATTCTTATTTTTTAAAGTGTTTTAGGTATGATTCCCAGGAAGCAGTCCCTGAAACAAGGATTTGTGTGCCTGAAAATTATTAAAGAAGTATTTACCAGGGGATACCAGTAAGAGAGTAGGAGAAGCAGGTCAAGAAAAGGGAGGAAATCAGGCAAAGATGCCCATTTCAGGGAAAGTCCCACCAAGGGTGGCTTCAGCCTGATTACCTTTGAGGGTAAATTATGTCTTGGAGTTGTCACAGCCTGAGGCAAGGGAGCTGGGCTTTCATATTCCCACACCCAGGGGAGATATAAACTCTCTGCTCTCCATTCCTGCTGGCAATATGGCTCTCCTCTACAGGAGAGCAACCCCAACCTGAGAGACACAGAAACAATGCAAAAGAAATGATGCATAGAGATTTAGGCAGAGCACTGATGCCCCTCTCCCCCTTCCACCCCCTGCAAGTATGAATGCTGAGTTATAGCCTTCATTATTCAAGCTCTCTATTTGACATTACTGAGTGTCAGACATACAGTGCTGCCCAGTGCTGAATGCAGTGTGATTTTCTAAAAGAGTGATGAGGTGATGGATGTAGCATGCTCAGCACTGCATCTGGCCCTTCGTAAACACTCAATAACAGTTAACAGCTACAGCTGCTATTCCACTGCTGGGTAACCATCAGAAGACATGGGGCCAAGCTCAGAATCTGACATAGAGTCCGTTTTTTTGGGGGGGGGGCCGGTACTGGGGTTCGAACTCAGATCCTTGCGCTTGCGCAGCAGGCAGCGAAACCACTGAGCTAAATCCCCAGCCCCTGACATAGAGTCAATACCTTATTGTAGCTTGCTAAAGTCCCAGCTACATACAGATGGCATCAAATGGGAATGGAACAATATACACAACAAGAATCTTTCTTTTAATGTCTTGTTTACTGGTCACTAACATGTTGGATGTCTGGGAACATTATTGGAAAGACACAGAATTCAACCTCAAGGGACACAGATTCTCTACACACATACTTGGCTAATACCTGCAAGTGTATCTAAAATCTTGGTAAAATTATGAAGGTGCTGGGTAGGTGCAAACTTGGCATGAAGGACACATCTTTTGGTTTATGCAACTGACTCTTCTGCAAGAAGGTAATAAATATATCCTGCTTCCAACCTTGGTGAACATGGAAATGGACAACAAAGACATGATCTAAGCTAATCCTAGAAGTCAGGGGTATGGAAGCATAGGAGTCACTACAGTGCAGGATCAGGCAAAGAAACAAGTTCTCACCCAGTTTGTTTATGAGTTTTATCAAAAGCAATAAGAAACACATACCCCATTGGGGCCCCAATGTGTGTCAAGCACTGGGCAGGTCCCAGGGATTCCCAGAGAACACTACTGGCACAGTGTGCCTCCAGGTGGCAAGCCCTCGCGTGATGGGTATACAGTGTGGGTTCCTTTATGGGACTCCACTTATATCCTTTCTTTGGTGAAGTCCTGTTAATAATGTAATGTTTTCCCTTAGTAAATCATTCAGGATTCTTAGGTGGTAGACTAGGACAGCTCCTTCAGCAGCTTTGTCCAAATGCATTGATCACCAGTAACCTGCTTCCTTCAAGGAGTGCAGATACATGGGTGACAGTGTAGAAGGCCCACAGTTCTGCCAGCAACAAAGCCACCCCCACTGAGAGCAGGGTGGATTCTAAATGGTAAATCATGTGAGTAGTCACTTACCCAGGAGGTCACTAAGACTACAAGACAGTTTTTAAGAAAACTCTACTTGACATCACAAGAAGATACTAGAAACCACCCCAGGAACCTATCTGAGGAAGAGCAGTGTCTCTGCTTATCTAACCCTGCTGAGTAGCAGATGAACCTTAAGGGACAGGGAGTAGCCTTTTAGCACAGAGGTGGAGGAAGAAGTTGAGCATATTGAGGGAGCTCTCTCAACTTGGGCAGTTCACCAGCTCAATCTCAGAAGCCCTCTAGGTTCTCAGAAGAAGCAGACAGGGTAGGCCACTGTGTCTATGTTCTCTCTCTAGAGTATGCTTTTAAAATTCCCCCTTTTTCAAAAACAATTCCCTTATTCTTAGTTATGTAGGACTCAAGAGAGTGTGGAACATCCCCAAGTGAGCCTTGGGCCTGTCACCAAGAAGAGGCCATGAAGCTCAGAAGCAAAGGGACACTAGGAGTAGGGATCAGGACCCACCAAGTTTGTGGTAACTGACAGGCATACATCCTGAATCTTAGTGGGGAGGGGGCAGCACTTCAGTAGACCTCTCTCAGCATCCCAGTGTTCAGAGACTTGGCAAACTAGAAAACCCAGGAGAGAATCCTCCAAGAAATTATGAGTAGCCTCTAGTCCTTGAGCCAAAGGCAAGGGAGTTAATAAATGCAGCACCCCTCCGGGACACCTGAGGCCTGTCCTCTGTGTGTGCGGAAATACAGCAGATCTCCAGTGGCCATGCATGCTGTGTGCTCCTGATTACCCCCAGCATGGTGGGTCTTGAAATGTTACAACTTTTACTTTTGGATTAGGCATTATGACTAAGTGAACACAGTTACACTGGTTACCTATGAAATGTACACTTGGTGAAATGTATGCTTGACTCCCAACTTCCCAGAATTTAGAGGAGCTGCAGAGAATTGTCATGGGGTAAGAGATGTTAAGCTAGGATGTAGCTCATTACTAGAGTGCTTGTGTGCAAGGGTGTGTGGGTTCAATCCTCAGCACCACAAATTTCTGTTATTTGGGGGAAATGGCCCTTTAGTGGACAAAAGCAGAAGGTGCTCCAAGTAGAAATGATGCAAATATGCAGAATTTTAGTTGTTTTGTTTTGATAATAATATAGGGTAGTAATATGCACAGTGAAGAATATTTTCTGAAATAAAGAATGGCAGAAGGAAGGATACAGAGCCAGTATGGCCAAAGTGAACCTAGAATGTCTTCTGATTTTTCAGCACATAAACACATTTCCCAAGACAGTGCAATGTTTTATAGCACACTGATCTAGATTTCAAACATTTTAAGGTATTTTGTTGTGTTGTGTTAATTCTAACATGCATGGTGTGATGGCAGCATGAGTTTAAAAGCTTTAGGAGTGAGGAATGGCATGGCAGGCACCCACACTCGCTGCACCTCCAGGCTTCACTGAGGCATCTTGTACACTTCTGCTGAGGACTTCACATGGGAGGGGTGTTCCTCCTCGTGATGTCACATGGAGTAAAGTCTATGCAGTCACTTCTAATTCACTTGCACTCTTTGGGAAATGCCAGGTTTACAAAAATACATGTTTAGAATAAAAAATGGCTGCAAATGATTCAGAAGTTTGGTCTGTAATTTCATTGCTAATAACTTTATAAGGTGTGGAATATGGAGTTCCAATCAGTGTAATATAATATGAGTCCTAAAGAGCATGTCAAGGACCATCCACTTCCACAAGAACAACTCACTTGATCTGGCTGAACTGTCCCAGATCTTTGACCTTCGTATGAGGGCCACCATCTTCTCTGGGTATTACCCTCATGCCCTGGACTATACCTAGAATCTGAATCTGGAGATTCCAAAGGGGAGGATTTCCTACTGTTAGTAGGCTCCCGTGTGTTCACCAATCATTAGCCTTTTCTCCAGAAGTTTTTTGCAGCAATCTCAACATTTAAGATACAACATTTTGTTAGATTTTTAATCTCCATCTGCCTAGTTATATCCTTATATTATGCCAAATATACATTCGCCTGTTTTTTTCCCTAGATATTGCCAACAAAGATCATTCTATTGTTTTTTTTCAAGAACCAGCCTTTAGCTTTACCAATCAAGTCTACTGATTTTTATTTCATCAATTACAACTTTTATATCTCTTAAAATGTCTTCTACTACCTTTATTATTAAAAGTTTATGTGCACACACACCACATAGTATAGAAGAGATAAGAACAGATCCACACTAATGGATTAAGAATGGTTGTCTTTAGGTATGTGGATTGTCAGTGTTTTTGCTTTACATTTTTTTTACTTGTCTGAATTTTAGTTTTCTACAGTGAGCATGTATTCTTTTGTAACAATGAAACATATGAAAGTTGTTTTTTAAATAAAATTATATCTGGGAGAGTATGTATTGCTACTCTAAAGGAGATCCCAGATTGTAGGTCTAGGAAGAATGAAATGTGCTTCAGCAAAGGGCATGAATAAGTCTGACACTTCAGAGGAGTGGTCCAGTGAGTACTTTCAAGCATTTTAATTCCAGATGTTTCCTGGTGTAACAAACTTGCCTCTATCACTAATGCAGTTAAGTACATTTCTCTAAGGTTGCCTAACCTGTTTCCCTAAGCCAGGAAAAGAACTTGAACTCTAAGGAATCAAAAGAAATAAAATTAGGAGGAAGAGAAGCCATCTATTAATAAAGTTTGCTTCCTGTTTAGTCAGGAATTTTGCAGTCCACTAGATGACTTCACACCCTGAAGGTCTCTCTATCAGTTACTGTGTTTAGTAATAGAACCAACATAACTGTTTACTTAGAATTCCATCTGTGTTACCAAACTGATTGGCAGCCTTCCATCAGCAGTCACCTGTCCAAGGTTTGTGCTGAGCAATTCTGTACACCTCCAACTAAGTGTGTGTCATGAGATCACCAGCTCTGAGCGAAATCCACAGGCCTGCTGCCAAACCTGCTTTTAGCCCAGTCTAGTCCAAATTATTTCATACTTTCACATCGCTCTTCAATAGTTGAAAAGTTCTAAAAATTAAAACAAATCTCAGTAGAGGTCTAACTACTGATCTTTGAAGATACCAAATTGGTGAATAAAAGAGGGATTTAATAAAGGATCTCTAGGAAACTTTCGTCCAAAAAAATGGCAAATTTTAAGAAAGAAATAAATTCTCTCCAATTCCATACCTATTCAGAATCCTTTTTCTCAGAAAGCTGTTTGGTTCTATATAGCAGTAAACTCCAAAATAATAATGGTTTAGGCATAGATGTTTGTCTCTTTTTCACACAAAAGACCAGATGTGAGACATCAAGTTCTGGTACAGCAGTTTTGTGGATCATCAGGATATCAGCTCCAGTCTTTCTCAACAAGTGGCTTCCATCCTCAAAGTTGCCTCATGTTTCTATATAGTTACTAGGGCACCAGCCAACATTCCAAGCCAACAGTGGAGGAGGATAAAATGGCACATACCCTTCCCTTTTAACTAGCCTTATTAGCAGTCTTGTATAAGTTGGCCAGAAATTAATCATATAGATGTACCTAGCCACAAAGGAGGCTGGGGAATATTTTATTAAAGACTAAAAGTACAGTACATACTGGAGACAGCCACTCATTACCATACCCAGCATGTGTAAGATATTCATTCAGAATCTTTAGTTGCCTTAAGGCCTAGATAAGTACCCTTTAAACCCTTCAATCTAACTGGTTATGCAAGTGTAAAACATCGTTGGGGGGGATGAGGGTGGAGGGGTAAGAATCTTAAGTGTACAGTTCTGGGAGACCCAGTAAGACTTACAGAATGATGTAGCAAGAACTGGCATCTTGTGCTTTTCACAGCTGAACCTATCAGAGTTTTGAAGGATTTTTAAAAGAAACAGCAATGTACATGTGTACAGAATAAATAGCAAGACACTGCAAACAGGCCTGAGAGCCCCCAGCTGACCTCCATGTCCCTCAGAAGACCACAGGTAACCTGAGCCTCCACCACGAGATCCTGCCAATGGCCGTGTCCTCCTTCCACAGGGACTGTGATGAAAGGGGCATTCCTTTTCTTGGGTGGCCTTATACTTCTTTAAGAGATCTGCTGTAAAGTTTGTGTATATCTATTTCATATTTAACCCACAAAACAGATTCTTCTTTCACTTAACAGAAGTCCCTTTTGTTAAAAAAAAAAAAACCTCAAGTGTACAGTAGAGTTAGCTAATCTTATTCATGTCCATATAAAGCCATTTCTTGTTTTATGTTATTTTTCTCCTTTTTGACCCCAATCCCTATTTACATGCCCCCCTCCCAGAGGCATCAAATCTAATGAATGTATATCCTTAAAATGGATCCATGTCATATTATTTTGTCCGTTTCATTTATTTATTTATTTATTTTGGTACCAGGGATTGAACTCGGGTCCTTGCACTTGCACAGCAGGCGGCAAAACCACTGAGCTAAATCCTTGGCCCTTGTCTGTTCCATGTAAATGGCTTTGAGTCTGAGAGCTCATACTGTTTTGTTTGTTTGTTTTTAAGATGAACTCATGTTACCAAGATTATACCTAATTCATTGTTTCCGGCCTCAGCACCAAATTCTACTTTATGTTTTCCACAGCATTTTGCTTCTCCAGCCCCTTTGAAGGAGACCCTGCTGTTTCCACCAGTTCCCTGCAGTGAACATCCTCTCCCGTGGCCACTTATGGGCTTGAGCCAGACTGTCTCTTGCTACGTGTGATGTGTGTTACATGTTAAGGCAGTTGGTTACCTTCTCACTGTACTGCCAGATTCTCTCTCAACCACAGAGTGGACATTACCAGCAGCGATGCATGTCCCTATATCCTTATCCAACATGGAATTATCTTACTTTCTCACCAATCTTGTGTGTGAAGTGTATCAAGTTAAATTGGAACGTATATGCTTGTCACATACAGGCATCTTTCCATATTCTTAGCTACCTAGATTCCCTGTTCTGGAATCATTCTCATCTCCCTGAAAACTCCACTGATTGCCAGAATGACACACCATCTGACCTCCCTGGCCACTTCTCAGTTGGTTTCTGCTTCTCTTCCCAACCTCTTAGTATTGGAAGAGTCATTGAGCTCAGACCTTGGAAGTCTTCTCCATCTACACTCCTTGAAGATTCCACTGAAGATCCTGACATTCCCCCAAACATGTCTCTGCCCTGGCCCTCCTTGCTGAATTTTGCACTCACATGTCAGCCGCCTACTTCATCCTCACTCAATGAGACCACAGGCCTTTCAAACTGACCTGCTGCCATCCCCATCTCAGGAAACATCAGCTTTATTCCTCTGGTGGCTTTGGCCAAAATCCTTGTACTCATCTTCAACTTATCCTTCTCCCACCATACATTCGATCCATCAAAAATTCCTGCAGTTTACTATAAAAGTAGAGACAAAATCTGACCTTGTCTCACCAGCTCCACTGTGATCTCTTGGCTAAATTATTGTGAGAGCCTCTGTAGTACCCTCCCTGCCCCTGCATCTCAATCTCCTCTCTGTTCTAAACAGCAGCCAGAGGGTCCTGCTACCATGCAAGTCTGCCAATTGCTCCCATCTCACTCAATGAAAGCTACAGTCCTTCCTGGCCCCTCATGAGCTATACACCCCCTTACTTTGCTTTGTTCATGGTGTATGAATAGGGCTGAGAACAGTATGTTGCACAGATCAAGTGCTCAATGCATATTTGTTGAATTAATGAATTTAGATATTCCTTTTCTAACTTCTTAAAAATGAATGGTTAACAGTAGTTTTCAGTCTTTTTTTGTCTATAATGTTCATAAGGCTACATTTGTCACTATCATTCCATCATAAATATTCTATTTTCTTTTACGACTTATTTTTTAAATTAATTAGAAGTATATTTTTTAATTTCCAAACTTAATTTCTTAATGAGTTTTTTCTAGTTTGCTTGGGGGGAGGGGGGTTGCAGTTTATTTTTATTTTTCAAATTAATTGCATGATGGTTAGAGATGGTGATTTATATTACTGCAACCATCTGAAATTTAGTGAGATTTACATTATAGCCTAATAAACAGTAAATTTTCATTTTTGTTCCATGAGTATTTAGGAAAAGTGTATACCCTGCCACTAGAACGTTCATTCTTATATAAAATATCCATTACATCAAAATCTAAATCCTGCTTTGCCTGCTGATCTGTCAGTTACTGAGAGAGGTGTGTGGAAATCACCCACCCTCAAGTGAAGAGAGGCTGGGACACAGCACAGTGAGGGCAGGAGGTGTGCAGAGTCGCAGGCTCCCTGCTGCCCAGGAAGAGGCATGTTTGTGCTGAGTGAGCTGGAAGAATCATAGATCATGCTCCTAAAGAAGAAACCCACCTGCCTTTTAATAGGGTCAGTAAGATTCTCCTGACAAGTAGGAAGTGGGGCAAAAACTGAACTCAAGTGACAAATGTTCAGGAAAATTGTACAATAGGAACATCCATAATTAGCATCTAGGTCCTAGATTCTAGAGAAATGAAGCCTTGAAATACCCTCACACTGGGGCAATAGAGAACATCTAGACCATTTGCCTCTGGCAGCCTTGAGGAACTTTTCAGGAATTCAGAAACAATCCTGTTTCTTTCACCATATCCATTATGGCTATGGACTTTTC